TGCCCTGGGCAAATTTGATGGTGAAACCTATCTAATCTAACATCTGCTTCGTCTTATCGCCTGTAAAAGAGAGGGGTGACATTGACTGTTCAGAGCATTATTTGATTTTTGATAATTCAATCAAGATAGAAAATATTGATACCTATTCATATATTTGCATTGAAGTAGGAGTTCGCTTTAGTTTAATAGGGCAATCGTACGCCTACATATTACCCTTCGCAAAGGCGGAGGGGCGGAGCTAGACTAATGGCTTAAACGTGTATTAATTAAAGAATACAGTCCACTAAAGAACAAGGATTGTTCGCATGACTCGCCATGCGGTGTTGACTGGTTTCACTAATGTAGGTCGAGGCAAACTGAGGTCGGGCAAAAGGCAATAAACAACATAAATCGATAGGTCAACACACTTAATATGAAATCATGGTGGAAACGTGGACTACTGACTATACCTTGCAGAACTCCGGGTGCAAATGCCCAAGAATTGGCAGTGCGCTTGCTTTCAGTACTCTATCAGACGCATTCGACGGTCCTGGTCCCATCAATGTCTTTGGTGGCACGTGGATGGGCTTCAGCAATTCCTGGGACGGCGGTGTGATGCTGTAAGTCGCCATCGTGCGTTTCGGTTTTTGATTAATCGGAGTGAACGAGGGGTCAAAAGTCGTACCCACAATGCAACAAACAGTCGACAAGTTTCGACAACTTGTAGTGTTTTTAACTTGTTGAAACTGAAGGGCAGTTCTTAGATTTGAACGAAGTGAAACTGTGCGTCGCAGCAGCCCAGGTAACATAGTTGTTTACACGCACGGCACAGCAGTGTCAACCTTATCAACTAATCTGGCGAGATCTGGTTTTCAAGGTTATCTTATTGCGCCCTCTGGTGGTCGCATTAATGATGTTCTTTTGTATCATACTAGTATTTTGTTTATTATGGGTTCTTGTCATCAGAAAACCGAAAATGGAAAAAAAAAGGTCCCGGACAACTTTTCGAAACACAAGAGTCTAAAATGTCCTAGAAAATGGTTAAAAATGGCATTTTGCATTGGTTCTATGGCGAGCTTTTTTTTCATATCTTAGAATGTTGCCCCGTGATATGGAATAAAAAAAATCATGTTATTTTTGACACGTGTCCTAATTTTTTTTTTTATATTTCCACAAAAAAAAATAGCACTATAATAGTTTTCCATTATTTGCAATGGTAGTCATCACCCATAATGCATTGCGTACGTGTTCAGGAACATGCCCAGTCAAAAATTTAAAGCGGGGGAGTCGTCACCTGCGCATGCGTCAGATGGCCATAGTTTGTCATTGTTTACAAACAAGCGCATGCCCATGAGCCTTTGCGTTTTTAGCGTGTGTTGTTATCGTCACTTGGAACTCAACTCCCGCGCGTGCGCAGGTGACGATCCTCCCGCTTTAAATTCGTCTGAAACTTTTACATAGTTTCAACATGGACGTATTAACAAGTCATGGTTTTACCATTTACTATATACATTCACACATTTCTTACGTAAACAAATTATATCATTGAACGATTTTTATGCCTTAGCACCGGTAATGAAATGATGTTGATTGATATTTTACAACTATTGTTTTTCAACCACGTCAAACTCGGGACTATGAGATGAGACAGTCAATGTTATTGGTCAAAATCGGTGACAAGATAGTTTGAAAAATACTGATATCGTCCTCTCCCAGTGTACTTCTTGTCTCTTACGTCATCGTGTGTATTACTGACCTCTTATATGTATTAACATCCGGGACACTTGTTGTTGGAAGCGATAAAAGTGTGAATGACGTTTTATATAACAAGAGGTCTAATTTTGATTTTATACAGTTTACGTTTTGGCTTACAGTTTTACCTTGCTTACTGCATCGTTGTTCTCGTTCGGGATCATATCATAAAACAGTTATCATAGACTCTATGTTGCTAACTCCAGCTCCCAGCTCAATATTCATGCTGCCATATGCGTAGCGAAGGAACATGTTCTCTACCTAAGCAAACGATAGAAGGATTACGTAGTATCTAGGTCTGGAATCTCATTGGTAAATAAATAGCCTTACGAATGATTATTACAGTGTATAAATCCTGGTGTTACTGTTCGACAGGATATACGCCCTTAAAGCGGAAGGGTCGTCACCTGCGCACGCGCGGGAATTGAGTCCCAAGCGATGATAACAACGCACGCTAAGAACGCAAAGCCTCACGGGTAAACACTTGGTCCTACATTCTAAAATTGAATAACACGCCTTTATTACATTTTAGATGACTGATCATGTCGATTTTAGTATTTATAATTTAATGATACAGATGTGCATATGTTTGAAAATTATCAAATGCGTCGTGTTTTACTTGAAAAATAAGATTTCTTATATTATACACTTACTATTCTAGAAGACTCAAGAAACAGTATAACGCAACGACTACATGCATATAATGTGGGACGTTTATCTATCGTTTTCTAGGCAGGAAAAAATCATTTTTGAATAAATAATTCAAATAATCAAAACTTATTCCAAAAAACTGCTTGACAACAAGTTTTAGAAAATACTTTATTATTATTATTTTCATAACTTCACAAATGTATATGTTTAGAAATTGCATGTCATAGTCAAGCCATAGGCTAGAATTTTCCAAATTTAGATGGCTTAATGACGGCGAAGATATTTTAAACCACGCTCGTCCAACTCGATCATAAAATCAATTTAGTGTTTCTAAATATTCAACAGCAGATGTGGTATTCTGGGGTGGACCCGTAGCAAAAGCATGCACATACACAGTGCAATGACAAGACACAAACACGACCAAGGCTTATAGAATACTGACTACATTTTATTGAATTACATTTCTTTTATGGCAGCGCATGCCAGATGTACTGGTATACCAGGTGTACATTTAATTAGCATATCAATAGTGTGTACAAATCACTACAGCAGATAAAAAAAATCAGCATGTTTATGGTATTCTACAAGAATGAATGAAAATGTTCGGAACAGCATATATCTGTTATTTCAGATTTAACGACGTGTTGTTTTGGATTATGAAAACCTGCATTGTCTCAAACGAAATTCGTTACAGTATTTTGTTACCATCCGCACTTGATGGGGGAAGGGGTAGTATTTAACGAAAACGAATTTAATGACCTGTACTTTTTTGAAGTGAGACAGGGAGGGGGAATCTTAGATTTTTGCACAGGTCAAAACAATTTATTTCCCATTAAATATTTAAATAATCCAAAAATACCACTGATATTAAAACACATAAACATTTGGGATTCCCAATTGTAAATTGTTGTGAGCGCCAAAGGTTACTTTCGTTACCATTCACATTCACAAAATAGCGTACGTTATATTTACACAGATTTTTTCCAAAATTTTGATCAATATTTGTAGTTAATAGAAAATTATATCCATTTTGTCCAAAATGATCAAACATATTATGAACAAATACTTAAAAATAAACAAAAGGCTGCAGCAAAATTTTGGTTGGAAAAATTATGGCGCACAAAGGGTTAAATGTTCATATTGTACTACAAAGTTAGAGGCTTATGTTGATTTGATATCGCCACGATTCAAAGTTATTTTCAAATGCGTTATGTTTGGTCAACTAGGACCAGCGTTTATGTTTTACTTCTCTCTGTAGATGTTTTAAGGATGTATCCATTTTGAATTGCCAAATATGTAAAACTACCGTATTGCTCTAAGGAAACTATTAAAAATCGTCCGCGAAGTCTCAACCTTGCGTGAAAACTGCCATGGCGTCGTGTTATCAATTCCACTGAGGGGGGGGGGACACAATGGATTACGTAAAGCCGATGACATATTCATACAGTTATATAAACATAGCGATCGCCATTACCTTCCCTCAAACCTTTAAACAAATACTTTGTATGACGCAGTTTCCAAGGACCGTGCAAAGTTAGGCGACCAGGTTGAAAAGGGCCCTAACATTTTACTACACAAGGGCTATTCGCAGTTTTTACTACTTAATCGCCCAAATGCCGGTGAAACAATTCGAAATGAAGTCACATTGGAAGGGGAACTATTGTCAATCGAGGCAGGTTTCATTCAACCACGGTTACTAGTAACCGTGATTCAACTACAGACGAGACAGGCCGATGCAAATTTAACGAACCCTGACCTCTGGAAATACCTCATTCATAGAGTGCCTTAGTACCAGATATCGCCGATCACGGCCATACAACGTAGTTTGCGACATCGCTACCGGTGCATGCTAGCTGACAAGGGGGTTTCCGATTAAGGTAACCAAGATGGCATCGCAGAGTGCATGACTTTTCCACTGTGTTTAAAAACAGCATCTCATTGCCGATTTTTCGGTAATTTTTTTATTTTTAATTAACCAAGCATTTTATGTTTGTGTATTTTGACACTGAAAAGTTAGCGATGACAGAAACAGCAGTGTTGTTTGTCAATTTCATCACAATTCTATCAGCACGATAATCCCTACAGCGAAACGAAAAATGTTTACTTCAGTGTAAAAATGCCGTTGGAGGAAAAATGTGTGGAAACAATTTGCGAAAAAGCTTGAAATCTATGCACCAAGAAAACAAAAGAAATTGTGGCCTTGTTTTGCGCGAAAATTAAATCGCCCTATCGACGCTACCTCGTACATGAAAATAAATGAAAAATCAATTTATTTAAGGGTGAAAAAAAAATACTTATCAGTTACTAGTGTATGTTTTGTTTCATTCCGCTTGCATGCTGGAAGCGTCTACGTCTTGTCTGTTTTTGTAGTTTGCTAGTTGATCGCGCTTGAGGTAAATAAACAGAGAGCCAAGACAGGAAGTCGCACACCGGCTGCTCCGTAACTGAGGCCAGCAACATTTACATATAACATCAACAGTGACTTGTCAATCAAAGAGCATCGCAAACAAACTTTCAGGACTTGTAATCACATACGCGTGCCTGGGTTCCCTATATTTTAAAATTGATTTTTGAGTATGTTCCAACAATGACAACACTCCGAAATTTTAACACTATCTAGCCAAGACGGTCTGGGTAAGAAAAAGCAAAAAAAAAAAAAAAAAAAAAAATCACTCTGAGTGCCCACGAACCTGCATCTCTACCTTAAGACTTCCAAAACTAAATTTGGAATCGGAATGGCAAATGTGCAAGTCACAGTAGGTTACCGTGTCGTGTGTTATTAAACGTGTATTTCGTCACAGTTACACAAATATAAAGGCAATATTCGAATCACATGTGTACATGTGAAATGATTTCATTTTATAAATACCCATTTGTTTATTTTTCAATGGGGCCTTGAATACATGTCAAACAATTGATCAAGGGCTATTAGCAATAAACACGTACGATGTTTTGCAATCTGCTCCCTACAACATAATATCGAATATATATGTGAAACCATAGACCTTAAAAGTCTTTTAAGGTCTATGGTGAAACTCTATCCGTTTAATCTTTGAATATTTGAAATAAAATAACAGTTTAGGAGGTTGCAGAAAATACGCGTCAGGATACACACATAGTCCTATTTTTATGCGTCCCGATTTAGTGTGCGTAACATGTGGTGGTGGGATTATAGATATTTGCATATTGTCAAACTACATCCGGTATACGTCAATACAGTCTGTTGTTATCTGTACCACGGCGCTTTTCTGGGCGTTACGTGATGGCTAATACCGGACAGAATGGATGGACATTACTACTGAGATATCAGGCCAATAATGTCAGTGTGTTTTTATTTGAATTGATGTACCATGTGACTGGCTGACTGATGTGTGATGAAGTTCAGGGTCAAAAGAATGCCATTTTTGCGATCGTTATTTTATGCCATTATTGCCTACATGGTATTGTGTATCGTTTA